TTGACGGGGCCTCCTGAGCATCTGGAAGGGCCACACCTTGCAGCGCTTGTCTCTCTCTCCAGCTGCCTGGATGGCTCTGCAATGTCCAACTCCCCAGCCAGGGCCTGGTCCAGCTGGAGAGCCAGGCTCCAGGCAGGAGCAAGGAGGGGTCGTGCCATATCCCCAGGGAGAGGAAGGTCATAGGCCGCAGCCATCCCTGTTCATCCAGGTTCACCCCACCCAGCTCCCCACGCGAGTTCCTCAAACCAGCTGTGAGGATCACCGGCATTGGCATCGCCCAGGGCGTTTATTAAATGCAGAGCCAGGTCCTGTGCCCAGCCCAGCCCCCAGGAAAAGGTTGGGGCTGTTAGGATTTCGTGTCTGTCAAGTGCCCAGGTGGCTCTTGGCATGCACCCCAGGATGAGAACCGCTGCTCGGAGCAGAGCCTCTTGGGGTTGGGGTAGAAAATGTGTCCCCCTGCTGCCACCACGGCGTCATTGCTGCGCCTGAGGGAGAGGGGACGCGAGCAGCCGCACGGGGCACAGGGTCCGTGCATTCTCAGTCCTCGTGGCAGCCCTGTGCAGTGGACGTCTCCATGACAGCTGCAAGAAAGGAGGAAACTGAGGCACAGAGAAGTCCAGTAACTCACCCAAAGTCACCCAGAAGCACATGACCACTTCCTTCTCACTCCTGCCACCAGGGCAGGTGTAACCACTGCCGGGCAACCTCCATCACAGCTAATGCCAGGGAGTCACGGTTCCCACCGCCAGCCCGTCTTCTCTGCTGTGAGCACAGGCACCGGCCTTATCCTCCACGCTGAGCCCGCTTAGCACTAGCAGATGCAGGTGCAGACTCACCAGCCCCAGCCAGCTCACGGTTCCCACCGCCAGCCCGTCTTCTCTGCCGTGAGTGCAGGCACAGGCCTTATCTTCCACGCTGAGTCCCGCTTAGCGCTAGCAGATGCAGGTGCAGACTCACCAGCCCCAGCCAGTGCAGGTCGGGTGCTCATGATATTGCTCCAAACTGTCAGAAAGGGGCCAGGATTGGGCATGACGCATGCATGTGTGCATACGTGTCCCGTGTCCTCAGGTGCCACAGGGGCAGGAGGAAAGCCTTGAAGACACGAGGGCACGGCATCTGTGCGCATGCTCTCTAACTTCCGTCTGGAATCCGTTTACTTGTCAGTTGCAGCAGGATCTGCCAGTTGAGCCCCTCAGAGAGTTGGACTCCGTCTGGAATGTAAAAGTGCTCGGGGCAGCTGGTTGCTCAGGCTTGTCCGCAGCACACATGCACACGCGTGTCCTGGTGCACAGGCTGCCTGCACACCCAGCAGCCACCTGGGGCAGCGGGCAGCTGCCTCATTCCTGCCCAGACGCCAGCCAAGTGGCTTCACAGGGGCAGACGCAGCTGAGGTCTCTCCATCTCGCCTCCGCACTGAAGGAATTACTGTCTGCCCCCAAATGCGGTCATTAAAATGAGCGAAGTAACAATCATTGAGTTATATTTTTTGAAAAAACATTCTCAGCATTTAATTATTGGTTGTGGTGTGAGAGGATTTAGATAAGTTGATAAAGCCAACTTTATATAATTTATTTTTACTAGGCAATTAAGGGCTGCATTACATCCTGGCAGCAAGGTATTGTGGGGCATCTTATTAAGCATAAAGCCAGTAAACACTGATGAACAATTTTGCTGAACTAGGCATGCAATTTAGAAAGCAATAATACACAAATCCAATTTGGTCCACCACGGATACGCGGCACGTCAGCACATGTAACTATCACAGCCGGCAAATTAAATTGGGACGGCCCTTTTTGCAACAGCACAGGCCAAGATTAAATATATTTTCCCCTCAATTTAGCAAGTTGCTGACCACAAATATAAATATGTGTGTGTGTGTGTGTGTGTGTGTCCCTCGTGTGTGTGCACACGTGCATGTGTGTGAAGCCACTTGGGCTTGCTAACTGGCTCTCGCACGCTCCCCACAGGTCACAGGTGCGAGAAGAATCTTGCCCTGTGCAGAGAGCTGGACATCAGTGTTGCTTTGACAGGGAAGCCCAGCAAGACCAGCCCTGCGGTGACGGCTCTGGCCATGTCCAGGTAACCACAGCTTGGCTTCTGCAGGCCTCCAGCAGAGGGCGCTGTGGCCACCCCAGGGAAAGTCTGGGCCTGCCTCAGGCAGCCTCACTGTGGGACCCAGGAGGGCCCACCGAGCACAGGACTCAGGTCAGGTGGCCATGCGGGGTCCCAGGAAATGTATTTTAGCACATACATGTCCCTGCTCTCTCTCATGGAATACCCATGAATCCACAAAGAAATCCAAAAGGTGAAAGTAAATTGCTTTGTGATTTTATCCTAAAGAGGGCCTTTTCCTCAGGCCACTGCCGATTGCAATGTTTATCCTATTAATGCTGGGAGGGCTGTGACCCAATGCAGAATAGCCACATGTCAGAGGCCACAGGGCCCCGCTGCATCTCAGCACCGGAAGCACCTGGGGAAGCCGGAGGCAGGGGCAGGCTCGCGGTGCGGGACTGCAACCTCCATGCTGGCCATCTCCTGGCTGCGGCTGGGATAAGCTTCCTCTCACACGCCTGTCTCTTCTTTCTCTTCCCAAGAAACCAGCCCAAGCTCCTGGTAGGCGACGAGAAGGGGAGAATATTCTGCTGGTCGGCAGAGGGGTAGGAAGGAAGAGATGGCGGCGGCCCTGGCGCAGCAGCCGTGGCAGCTGCAGGAATGAAGCTGTGCCTGGACGCCTCCCCTCTCCTCGGCTCCCGGGACCTCGGCCTTGCCCTGCACCATCGTGGGCTTTTACAGACGGGTAGGAGCTCGGGGCTCCTGTGAACAGCATGCTGGCAGCCGGGACCCTGACACACCTGCTCACCAATCACATAGGATCGCCTTTCAACGAGCTTGTTGCACTGAAAAAAATGGGGTTGCTTACTGGAAACTAGTGGGAAATACTGTATTGTCTTTATTTTATTAAAATGACTATTTTCCGAGTGTAAGTGCTCCTGAGTGTGACATCGCCACCCTCTCCAGGCAGCCTTTGCATCTCTCTCCTTAGGAAGCCGCCCTCCTGCCTCCTTTGTCAGCCCCTCCAGTGGTCTTGCCTGCCCTGCCGGGCCTCGCGGGGAGTGAGGGGCCTCACTCAAGAGGCTTCTGTGGCTGAGGCACAGGCCTCGGACCTGAGGCTGCCCAGTGCAGGCACAGGGCAGTCCGCCTGCAGGGCCAGCCCACATAGGCCTGCCCGCTCGGCTCTGCACTCCCAGCGGTGGGGGTCCCGGCCACGCCCTGGCGTGGCAGGCTCTTCCCAGGGCCTGTCCTTCCGTGGAGGCCAAGGGCCACGGTCCACATGGTGATTAGAGCTGAAGCTGCTCCTGGGAAAACTCGGATGCCAGGTGACCCCTGCTCTCCACTGAGCACAGGGCCCTCCGAGGAGTTCCAGTCCCTTTGTGCCGGGTCACCGTGGGCTGTCGTTGGTCTTGGAGGGCCTCCCCTCATGCGATTGTCCGCTCCCAGCAGCCTTCGGAACTCCTGAAGGACACGCACCTGCCCCTCGAGGACGCCCAGCTCAGGCGGTGCACAGGGACGAGGGCGCCGAGCTCCTTAGCGCCATCTCCCCTCCCTTGACTTCTCCTCTAGGGAATCCTGGTCATTCCCAGGTTCCTATAAGCTGCGCACAGCCCGAGACCCCGCCAATCTAGCTCAGGTCTGGGGTGGCAGGAAAGGGGCCTGGTGTCTGATGGCTCCAGGGGCAGTGAGTCAATTTAGAGATAAATGAGGAAGTAGAAGTGGTGCATAGCTATGTCCAGAACAGTGACGAGGGCGGTTAGAAAACAGGGACCTGTCTGTAAACCTGGAAGTACCTGCAAAGAGAAGGTGGTGGAGGAGACACAGCTCCGGGTCAGGGCACTGCCCCTCGGAGGAGAGGGCTGACCTGGCCGAGGATCGGCCGCCCCGCACTGTCTGCAGGCGCTGTTAGCTCACGCGCCTTTCAGCCTCCTCGTCTGTCTAGGCTGCACCGGACGGCCCCAAACTGAGGAGCAGAGAGCACCCCTCCCCGGGAAGGCCAAGAACCAGGGTCGTAAACCCAAGGCTGGCTGCTGTCATGCTCCAAACGCCAGCCACAGCTCTGGCCCACGTGGACGGTGCGCTGGCCCACGTGGACGGTGCGCTGGCCCAGAGGCTCTCTTGGGCATGTTCACTCAACAAGCCTTTCCAAGCACTGGCCTTGGCTTCCCAATATCATGGGGGGGGGGGGGAAGGTGAGATCCCCGGCTGGGAGATGACACCAGCTCTCGTAGCTCTGGAGGCCAGACGGCTGAGGTGACGGTGTCAGCAGTGTCTTTGTCCCTCCTTGGCTGTAGATGGCTGTCTTTTCCGTGTCCTCATACGGTCTTTCCCTTGTAACTGTCTACATTTCTCCTTTGTATGAGGACACCAGTCAGACTGGATTGGGTCCCGCCCTAATGATGCCAATTTAACTTACTTACCTCCTCACAGATGCCATCTCCAAACAGGGTCAAACCTGCGAAACTGGCGATCAGGAGTTCAACGCGTGAGCTCCAGAGGGACCGTTCAGTGGACAACTCGGTCCCTGGCACTGGCTGGAGGAGGTGGCCCTAGAGCAAGAGCTGGCGGGCAGGCAGGGCGTGGCCTCTCTGCGATGGAAAGTGGGGCATTTAGGAAGAGGGCAGCACTAGCAGAGACCCAGGGCTCAGGGCTGGAGGCAGGACGAGCCAATGGGTCAAGACAGGGCAAGGCGCCGGCGGTTGCTCTAGGCTGAGGGCTGGAGGCGGTGATGGGCACGGTGAGGGGAGTGAGGGGTAGAGCTGGACCGTCCACCCCCTGGCTCCTTCCCAGTGTGCAGCTCACAGGAGGTGCTCCAGAGTGTGGCTTAGTCTCTGAGTGAATGGATGAGCCGCGGCGGCGGACATGCAGAGGTGGTGGTTCTGGGAGGAAGGAATAACTCCGAGTGGTGGCAGGTCTGGGCAGCGGCCCTTCCACAGGCGGGTAAAGCAAAATGGAGTGAGGAAGGTGGGAAGAGACTCGAGGAAACTGGTGGGATGTCCTGGTGGGAGAGGCTGCAGTGAGGATGATGCCCGCAGCCTGGGGGTGAACTGGTCAATGCCACCCACGGAGCCGGGAGCCTGGAGGAGCGAAGCTGCTCTGCACACAAGTCCCAAGGGGCGGGCACCTGGGGCCTTCACTGCAGACCTGTCACCTGGGCTCCGCAGGGTTAGAACAGTCTGTGGGCAGACCTGCAGGGGGGCCTGGGCTGGGGCACGGAGGAGCCCCAGGTGTAGGTCCAGAGTCTAAAGTTTCGTGGCAGCTGAGGGCCAGTGGGTCCTGCTGGCCTCAGTATTCAGGGGCTAGGCAGCTGCGACTGGCCCCTGGTGGCTGTCAGTGATGGAGAGAAGCCCAGGGCAGTGGCCTGAGGGCTGGGCAGGGGAGGGAGAGAGCAGGCTCACAGCAGGGCCCCTGGCAGCACAGCCAGGCAGGGGCCAGGAGCTCCGGCTCCCTGGGCTGAGGTCTGGGGCCCTGGGGGTCCAGGCTGCCGGAATCCCATGTCCAGTAGGGATGGACGAGGAGACCCAGAGCAGCCCAGTACCCAGAGAGTGCGTGTGAGGACAGGGCGGTGCAGTGAGCGTCATGGACATGAGCAGGGCCGGGCCAACAACCTGAGCCCCAACCCCAGCATCCCCACTGCCTGCCAACAACAGCCCCAGTTTCTGTTTCTATAAAACCGATCCCAGTGTCTGCCTGCTGGCTTGCAGGAGACTGAAATCACATCTGGTTATTTATGGGGGGGGCGACGCAATGACAAGCTGCCTACTCTTTCACCATAACACCCATCCATTCTCCTGGCTGACCCAGGCCCTGGGCAGACCCCGGGACCCAGAAAGACGCTGCCTGTGCCCGGGAAGTCCCTTGCCTGGGCCCAGGGATGGCATTGCTTCGGGAACATCCAGGATGCAAGTCCAGGTCAGACTCCTGGTCCCAGGGAACCTGGTCCCTGGGCTGGGGCGGAAGCCACAGTCTGCACGCAGAGGGTCTCCCAGGCAACGCCACTGCCCACTCCAGGGGCCCCCCTTGGAGATACCCTGGAGCAGACGGTGACAGGAGCCCACTGCTGCCCACCCTGCAGTCTTAGGGCAGGTGGCTTGTGAGGGGCCAGGGACCCCTCATTTCACTCACTTTCATGAGCTCAGCAGCGGGCCCAGCTCTCTCCCGGCTGAGCTCCCCCTCATAACTTCTGAGTAACTGCGGGGCCAGCCTCCACCCTAGCCCCACCCCTGGGATGGCTGACCCCACGCCGCCACCAGCCATGCCACAGACAGTGCTCCCACCGGGGACGGCTCAGCTCTCCTCATTCAGACCTGCGCTCCTTCTGCTCACGCTTCCTGCAATGCTCACCCGGCCTCTCTCTGTGCTCTGAGCTCGGGGGACAGAAGCCCAGGCCCTGGAAGCCACTCAGGATGGCAACTGCCTCCCCCACGCTCGGCCAGCAGCCAGGGGCAGAGAACTCGAGATTGGATGTGACCACATTAGCATGCAGCCAAGCAGGGTGCATTTGGGGAGAAATAGACTCTTCATATGAAAATCCTGATGAAATTTGTTTTACATAAAATCAAATCTCTCTAAACCCAAATCAGCTTTGCTTTAGTAAGTTCTGGGTACATATGACAGGCTGAGATCTGGTGTGTGTGTGTGTGTGTGTGTGTGTGTGTGTGTGTGTGTGTGTGTTCATGAGTGTGTGGCTTCCATTTCACTCCAGGGCTGCAGCGCCTTCACAGCGCCCTAGTACCCAGTGTCCCCCGAATTGTCTCCCCCCCCCACTCCACCCCGCTCTCTGAAAGCACAGAGAACGCTGCATCCTGGTCCTGCTCTGAGATCTCTTTCTGCCCCAAACTGGTTGACTCAGACATTCCTGTCCAAGACCCTTCACTGCCAGTGGCCGGAAATGCATCGTCATAAAGAAACCAACCGCTCTGCAAAGACAGAGTGGCCAGTGCCCCAGCACAGCCAGACCAGGCAGCCCTGCCCTCGTCACCCGGCAGCGGGCACTGCGGGTTCTCATGGACACTAGGGTGACGGCCTTCACTAACTACCCACCCATGCAGCTGCTCGCTGGTTAACTACCCATCCACGCAGCTGCTTGCTGGTTAACTACCTACCCATGCAGCTGTTCGCTGGTTAGCTACCCACCCACGCAGCTGCTCGCTGGTTAGCTACCCACCCATGCAGCTGCTCGCTGGTTAACTATCCACCCACGCAACTGCTCGCTGGTTAACTACCCACCCACGAAGCTGCTCGCTGGTTCATTCATTCACTCACTCACTGACTCACTCACTCATTTACTCACTGAGTCACTCACCGGCATTGACCGGGACCCCGAGCTTCCCAGGTCAGGCTGGGCCCAGTGGAGAAAGGTTATGCCTGGGCACAAACCCCTGAAAGTTAACTCCGAGGGCAAAGGCCAGGACCCTGGGACTCTCCCTTCACAGAGGGGCCAGGAAAGGGGCTTGTCCCAGGTCGATGACAGAGCCTAGTCAGGGCTCTAGGCCAGAGCCCCCCTCTGCGGGGCCGCAGGCAGATCGCAGTCTACACCGCCTCCCGCGGGCCTTGGAGCCCGGCGCTGGCCTGCTGGCCATGCCTGGGTTTCAAAGAGCAGCTGCTCTGCCCACCTCGCAACAAGACGCAAAGGACGCTGTGGAGGACTGAAGAGAGTGGGTCCGAATCTTTGTGAGAGACCAGCTTACACGCCTCCTGTGACAGGAAGCTCGCTCTCTCGGAGGACAACGCCCAGGACGCCAAGGCCATCCTCCCTCCTGAGCACAAGCTGCAGCCACGTGGGAGCCCCTGGAGCAGAGCCAGGAGACCTGCACGCAGGACCCGTTCTGCGTCCGCGGCCCCAGCGGTTCTGGCTTCTCGCCGTTGTTTTGTAAAAGTGGAGTAACAGTTACTGACCTCACAGGTTGTTGTGAAGATTAAATGAG